AAAGAGTATTTCAAGTGTGTAGATACAATGAAATGTGTGGAGCAGTCTGCCAAAGATAACAGTCAAACTAAACCACCAGACGTTTGCAAAACAATGAGGATAAGAACCGTGAAAAAACCTCGCAGCTCAATGCCCTACAAACCTGGGCCAGGGGGGTCATTCCCACTACAGATGACAAGGGGGGTACCTGTGTAAATCTGGCAAGATGGATCCCCTCATCTGTGGTTCAGCTGTAGACAGGAATATCCCACTTGGATTCATGTTTTCAAGGAGCAGAAGAAACAGAAGTTGGGGGATGCTGCAGCCAGTGGAATCCGTATGTTCCTCTATGCATGGTATGACCTGTACATGACCATCCAGTACCCATTTCTCTCCTGGAGTCAAATATACTTATGCTGCAAAGGATGGAAAACTGGGGTCCTCTTTTCTAACCTGGTTTCCCACTCCTTCCTTCCAAATCTGTTGGACTTGCAAAAAGAGCTTGTGCCGACAACCAGCTTGTCCCTCCATTCTCAGCTCTCACTAAGCACGTCCCTTGCTGTGTGGTGTGGAAAGGAGGCAGGGGCTAGAATGGTTTTTTCCACCATATGTACCTGCACAGATGCAGACTTTTATAGCACGCAGAATTTTAATACCTGCCCTTTATTCCTTAGGCTTCCATATCTGAGGGTGAAAAAGAGTGCTTAGTGCTCAGTGCTCCGATATGTATCAAGCGGGAATGTAACTATTTTTGTATTTCTTTTGTCCAAAGGTATAGCAGGAAGTCATCAAGTATATATGAAAACAAATCCGAGACATCAAATGTGGAAGCATCTAACAATAAAAACAGGAATTCCAGTCCCAGCTCCAGACAAAAGAGAGGTAGGAGTTCTGAGACAGAGCTTTTTCCTTCCAAAGGGTAGTATTTTTATTTTTGCACACTCATTTCTGGAGTTTGATGAGGATACTTTAAACGTATGTTGTTTAAACCCAGCATCAAAAAAACAGTGCTACAAAGCTGAGTGACTGTACCATGAAACTTTCTTGAACACCAAAAAGCATCATCAGTTTAGGATTTTTTAAGTCTGTGTTTTGATGCATTACAGTGCTCTTTATACAACCTGTGTTTTTTAAAAATAGAATTTGGGGGGCAATAGTATGCGTATTTTAACCTTCTGTATCCTGGCTAAGTTGGTTTCTAGCTATATTTGATTTTAAGATTGTCTATGGACTTTGCTAACTAATTTCCTTGCTTTATGTCAAAGAGATTTTTTTGCCTCCTCTGTGTATAGGTTCCCCTCTAGTGTATAGTAAATAAATGTACCTACGGTCACAGAAAGTCCCTCCATTATTTGAGGGCATAAATACAATAGATATATTCTATACAATGTAGGTTAAAGTGAACACTGAAAAGAAACTGAATCTCATCTGGCAGTAGCAGGAACAGAAAATCTTTCAACAGCAGTTTCTCTTTTAGGTAGTATTTTGAAATGTTAGAGCAGACTGTTCTAATAATATAAAAAAGAAAATGGCAAGGTCTTAAGAGATTAATGTCCAAATCAGGCTTAAAATGACAGCCAACCCCTTTATAAATAGAGATGGTTTAAAAAAAAAAAAAAAGGAATAATTTTTCTTTGAAAAATAGGCTATTTACCAAAAGATTTTTCATTGCAATAAATTTTTGTTCTGGGGAGAAAGTTATAGATCCTACATTTTAAAATCCAATGTTAAAAACCTGTTTCAGTTAAAATTTCTTTTTAAAAAATATGAACTTTTTTAAATTGAAAAAAGTTGAAAAGCAGTTTTTCATTTGAAATTCATAAACCCCTTTAAAAAAAAAAAAATCCAGGAAAATTACTGATGTTTTTCAGCTGGTCCAGCTTACACAAGTGTGTGGGAACTGCCATCACCCTATATGTTGATTTTCCTCCTCCTGCTTTTCCCTGACCAGTTCCTCAGGGTCTGGCCGCAGTTCCTGCTCGCCCAGCCGGAGCCTCCTCATCCTCGGGTCGGAGGCAGCTCCTGCAGAGCTGAGCGGTGGGTCAGCCGCTCCTCTCTGTGGGATTCAGGGCATGCCTCTGCATCCTGGGCTGCAGAGAGCCAGTGGAAGAGCTATCCGGCTCTAGATGTCCCCCTTGAAACTGTAATTTGTGTCCCTGTGAGGCACCTCTAGGTGGGACTCTGCAGGGCTGAGCTCGTCTTAAAAATGTACGGTTAGGTCCTGCTTTCAAAGGTGCAGAGGAATCCTGGCTGTGCCCGTCTGCAGCGTGGGCTGGTGCCCTGCCAAAACTGTCTCTCTTGTGCCACCTACTGACTGGACTGCTCCCAGTATCTGTGGCCTTAATGTGAACACAGATTATTTTAAAATAGTCTTCTTTTCCACAGAGGGGGAAGGCACTATTGGCAAGCTATTTCGGTTTCATTATTCTTATGCACAAGTGCCTGTGACTGAGTTATCTTCATATAAACCAGTGTTTTGTGTGGACCTGAGTGGTACGTTCACTGACTTGAAGCCATATGGGAGCTGAGTCCTGCAGGAACCTCTGGAGACCACGTAGTCGAACTGCCCTGCTCAACACAGGGTCAGCTGGAGCAATTGTTCAGGCCCATGTCCAGTTGGGTTCTGAACAGCTCCAAGGATGGTGACTCCACAGCTGCCTTGGGGACGCTGTCCCGGGCTTTAACCACCTTCACAGTAAAAAATTGAATTTCTCGTATTTCAATTTGTGCCCATTGTCTCGCTCATCCTGTCACTGGGCTCCACTGAGAAGCATCTGGCTCCATCTTCTTTACTTGGTAAGATCCCCCTGAGCCTTTTCTTCTCCAGGCTGAACAATCCCAGCTGTCTCACTCTCTCCTCAAGTCAGCTCCTGCAATCCCTTAATCATCTTCATGGCCTTTCACTGGATTCACTCAAATATGTCCATGTCACCCTGGCACTGGGGAGCCCAGGACGGGACACAGCACTCCACTTGTGCTCACTTGTGCGGAGTAGAGGGGAAGCATCACTGCCCTGGACCTGCTGGCAAGGCTCTGCCTCATGCAGCCCAGGATGCTGGTGACCTTCTTTGCCACAATTGCGCATTGCAGGCTCATGTTCAACCTGTTGCCCATCAGGACCTAGTCCTTATTATGTTTGGAAATGGTTTCCAGGATTATTTGGAATACCTGCAGAATGAAGGAAAAGGTTTGAAATAACTCAGGTGGAGTCAACTTTAGAGACCAGTGTCTAATGACTGGCTGGTGCTGAGAAGCTGTGGGAACTTGTGCAATCCTACGGGGTCCCTCTGTGAAGTGGTGTAATTGCATAGCTGAAGAACTAACATACAAACCCACCCCCTACACACATGCACTGTCATACTTGCCACATGACTCTGTGATAATGAAATACTATGGATTTTCTTGCTCTACGCAAACAGAAAGTAAGTACATTTTATATACCAGTTTCTGGATTCTTTATAAGCTACAGTACCTTTAAAAGATTGCCTGGCAGTGGGAGCAGCCGTGGCAGGGAATGGCTCTTAGGCCAACGCAGGCAGTCTGAAAGCCAAACGCTTCCCAGTGCACTGTGGGGCAGCCCCACAGCTGAAACTGCCGCTCGGCAGCGGTTCCTCACCAGATGCACATGCCTGGCCCAACGCTGGCATCAGGCCACTGAGTAGGAGGAGCTGAACCCCTCTGACATAATACTAATGTGTAGTTGAAATCTGTTCATCACGCCCACCTATGCATGCAGGCACCTTGGATCCTGGATTATCTTGGCTGCAAATCAGGAAGTGATGGGATGCGCTTTCCTTTGGAAGCACAGCTTGTCTGTCTGTTGCTTGCCGTCAGCGTGGATTCACTGTCTCTTCATGTTCCCTTTGTACCTTCTGGTCTTCATTTGTCCCTCTAATGATTTTTGCTTGGCAGTGTATGAAATAAAGAGGAGGAAAAAGCTAGTGGTTAAATCCTAAGGCACAGAACCAGGCAGCCAACACACGGCTTTTCTCCTGCTCCTTTGCTGTAAACCTTCTCTGTGTTACCTGCCCACACAAAGAAAGGGACAGATGCAGAATTTGGCACAAGTGCATGGATCTGGGGCTTTGATCTAGGTCCATCTGTTTCCTGCAATACAAGTAACTGAGTATCTTTCAACCCCAGAGTCTTAGGACCTAGAGCCATCTGTGACTTATCTCTGTAAAGGTGACTGTCAGGCGGCATGGGTGGCTTACTCATGTAGGAGCCTGGCATGTAAGCTTTGCTGGCATGGCACTCCGTACATCCCAGCAAGTCATGAGGTCAAATGCATGACTATATGCCAGCATTGGAGGCTGCTAGAAAGACTTCAGCAGGTAAGGCTGAGAGCGTATCAGCCACTGGGCTGATGATGGCAGACTCCTAGTGCTAGTACTGGGTGGCAGAAGTGGGACTGCTTGCAACACTCTGTCATACATGGCCTCTGCAAGGCTGCTTCTCTTACTTCTCTCTACAACCTTGCTGTTCCAACCACAATGATGTGTTTTCATAGTAAAAGGCACTAGATCCTTTTTAATGAGCTTGCTGCTAACCTGTATTTTCCTTTGATGAGAGCTACATCCCTTCACCTGGTTTTGTCTGGTTTTGTTTTGTTGTTGTTCTCCATTTAAACTCAGTGACCCAAACTCAACCCAGGGGCTCTGTTTGGCTCAGCTGGTTTAATCACCCTGACCTCATGTCACCTTTCTAATTGATTAGCTCTTGCTCAGGCTTGAACTGAATCAAAATCTATTTATCTGTTTATTTTTAGTTGTCATCCAGTGCTAACCTTTCCTTTCCCATAAGCTGAACAGCTGACCCTTCCTTCCTTATTTCTCTTCCCTCTCCCTCTCTCTCCTAGTTGATGCTTCCACCAGCCTTAACCTTGAGCGCACAGCGCTTGCTAGAAAGCGATTCACATTGCAAGGTCTTTCCAACCGCAGAGCTCCACCCAAAGGTAAAATCACCCCACGCAGCATTTGGTCTCTGGCCATCTGTCTCCCGCACTCCCACAATGTTCTCTCCATCCCATAGTGCCATCCATCACTATTTCCTAAGGTGCTGCCGCATCTCACCAAAATGCTCCTGTCTGATGCACACATATGGCTCCTCTTCGCAAAGACGCTGTTACCAAAAATTGCTCCCACGGCAGTGTTGACAAGGCAAATTTTGAGTTGCCTGGTTGGGTCTTTTACTGGTGCACAGTGCAAATACTGTTTATTTCCAGTTTCTCTCAAGGGCCAAAGTGTGAACTTGTTTTAAACCACCAACCTAATGTCTTTCAGCAATTTACTGGCTTGAAGGGAAGAGTGTCATCTCTGTGTTGTGCCACATGAGGTTTTCATGTGTTAAATTGTTCATTGGTTGGACCTCTTTGTTTTTTCAAATGTTGCTCAGCCATGGCCAAGTGGTTATACTGGGGAACCAGAATTCAGAAGATCTGGGCTTTATTGTCATTTCTACTTAATGATGTTATATGACACTGTGAAATGGTGTGTTCTGAGTATTTGTGCATGAATGTTTAGAAGACGCTTAATATCCCTGAGTAGAGGTCTTTGCGTGTTCCTGTGATGGCTGTACAAGGAAGAGACTTTAGAGGAAAGAAAGAAATGTGAATAGAAATTACACTGAATGATGGTTTACAATCACTTTCTGAAAAGATAATGTAATTACTGTTTTTATTGTTATTATATGGCTTTTCTCCTGTTCTGATAAATGATATTTCTTCTGTGAGACAGAGGGTTAGTGTGCAATGGTGGAGAGGGTGAGCATCAAAGGAGAAAGCAGGAAGATGAAAGAGTAAAAGGAGAAATACAGAAGCATTAAATGACAATTTTATAAAGAGGATGAGAATACACCAAGAGCCAGTGCAGCCATAAGATTCTGGCTGCAAGGTTAAAGCTGCACTTGGTGGTAAGATCCAAGATGCACAAACCAGTTCAATGTTCTGAATACAAAAAGGGGAGTGGTTTTCAGATCCTGTGACGTGGGGAAATCAATTACAAAACACAGATTTCAGAAATGCAGGATAATGCTGTAATTCGGGTGAGTTTGGATCTGCAATTTTGGTTTGGGCCTCTTTAGTTCTTCTATGTGACGACTTCTTGTCATGTGAAATGTCTCGCATTGTATTCAGTGTTCCAGACAGCAGAGTTCAGAGGAGTTCATACCTCCTAAGCTGTAGGCACTCTCAGCTCAAAGACTTGCTGGGTCTCGTTACTTGAGATTCCTGTGAAACACCTTTACGCAACGTCCCGTTTCACTTTGTTGTGCTGTTCAGTTACTAATCTGGTCTTGGCCTAGAGGAAACCACTTGGCAAAGAGGCTGGATGGTTTGCAGCGTGGTCATTTCTGCAGGCAGTGACAACGCAAAGCTGTGTTAGCACTGTATGGATGGGCCGTTAAGGCAGATTGGAAGCAGTGAGAAGGTAACAGGGAAGTTACTGCAATAAGCATGTCCTGCTCTTGACCCCTTTGTCTAAGGATTTGTTACTGGCCGGGGCAGGAGATGACATACTGAGCTGAACATACTTTGGTTCAGATCCACTGTGTCTCTTCATGTCCAGGACACAGGAAAGGGAAGGTTTAAATAATAAAATAACAAGACTAACTAGGGGGAAAACAAAGTTGCCTGATGGATATCAACTGGCAGTGGAGCATGCATGCTCAGAGCATTGCTGAACTGTCTGCCCAGGCTGGATATGACGGGGTAGAAAACATTGTATATAAGCACCTTGGTGTTTTGATCAAAGAAATGCTGAGGAGGAGGAGGAGGAGTCTAGAGGAGAAACTTTACCATCCTGCACACCATCAGTGCAGAGACCCCAAGGCAGCCGTACCAGAACCAGCACCAAAGTGTGTGAAAGCCCACACTTGTAGCGCTCTGCATCTCCCCCACCCTTGGGTCAGCATTTGCAGAGCCAAGCTCATATTCCTTGGAGTTGGCACAAGGTCTCTAAGAGCTGTGTGGTGTAAATGTAGCCCAACATCATAATTATAAAGTGAAATTTTCTTTGTATTTTAATAAGGGCAGTTGCAGCAGCCTCAATGGGGCGCCATTCCATTGTAATTATCACTGAGAGCAGAGTTTAACTTCTCGGTTTTCTTCAGCCTTTTAGGAGGTGTGAATAAGGGTGTAGTTGAATATATGTGCTTTTATGAGTAAATTGTTAAGGAAGTACATTGGCAGATACAGAATTTACAGTCTTTTTACAGTAGCCAATCTACAGTTAAAATTGCACTGAGATTTTTAAGGAGGTAACGTGGTTTCCTGATGTTTTGGCATAATAAAACATTATAGAAATTGCAGTTCAACCAGTCACGCTAATTTCGGCTCCACTGAAACATATAGTGAATGTGACATTTACTAGGCAGAAATATGGAAAAAACAAAGTAAAGAGAAATGTTGCGTGACTGAACATTAAAATAAGGAAATGTGAAGATGAGGAATGGGAAAGAGAATTTTAAGATCCCTGGCAAGGAAATCTTCACAGTAGTATAGTTCTGCACAGGATATTTAAAATATAAAATATAAAATGATAAGAGAAAGGAGGCAATTGGAATAGAAAAGTCTTTCTGAATCACAGGTACCATCTGGGAACATCTGGGCTAAGATTCAGCAAAGCATATAAGCATGTGCTGCAAAGAGTTTTATGTGAAATAACTCACCTATCCCAGGAAGTTTTTCAGTGAAAATAGAAACAACTATTTAATTTTTACATAAATGTTTCTTTGATAATTTAAAAAATGAAACCACAAAAATAACAAATAGTTTTTGACAAATCTGAAAACTTTCAACAGAATATTTAAAGCAATTTCTCCTACCATTTCCAATGGAGGTTGTGACCTGGTAGAGTTAAGTGTTCAAGTGTCTTATGAAACTGAGATATGAAGCATAGGAACAGCTTTACTCATGTCTCAATGGCAACCACTCACTGGAGTAATGCAGCACATGTGCTTAGAGTGTTTTCAGCAGAAGAGACTAAAAAGTTAATCCTGAAATATTTGTAAGCAAGCAACATTTTCTCCTAAGTGGTGCTGCTGTAGTTGGTAGGTGCAAGAAATGTATTGATGTGCTCGTAGATGTGTAGACACAATCTCTCAAGAGCTGCGTAATGACCTCGACGTGTTTTGAAACGTCATGTGCTCTCTGAAACTAGCCGACAGTTAGTCCATTTACACCTCTGATCTGTTTGTGAAATATTTTGAGTCAAAAATGCTACTCACTCTCACAGTGAAATCTGAGGAAGTGGTGTCTTCATTCCCGAGTGGACTTTGAGAAAAGGCAGGATCCTAACTGGAGTAAACAAAAAAAAGCTCTGTCACCTTCACTTTTCCAAGCTGATTTGCACTGGTAAGGATGGAGGCTCAGAGAACATTTTCAGGCATAGGCACAATTAACTTCTAGAAATGACAAATGTGAACTCCAAACCATTCATGCTTGTTTATCAGCGTATTTCAGGTCAGTCACCACAGAACAAGCAGTTCAGTGTCTAAAATAATCCAGACCTCATCTGTAGACACACTCCCCATTCTAACCATCGTGCTCATCTCTCTGTGTTTTGTAGCCGTACTGAGACTAGTTGGTTGCTCAAATATCAATTGGCAGAAGTCTCCCTTCTGAAGTATTAAAATTGGTGCAATTGGAATTGCTTTGGAAAACTATGTTCATATAAACTCTTTTCTGTGCTATTCACTTTGTTGAGGGTATTTTTCCTGGCTGTTTTAGAGGAGCAACCCACCTTTTATTTACCCTTTTCCAGCTGCTGCTTTGCTTTGGACATCTTTTACCCTCAGTGCTTATTAACCTCTAATCCTGCCCTGCATTGCATCTGTCTGTTCTCCCAGATCCAGAATCTAAGGAAAGAGAAGTTACCCGTCGCTTTTCCCTAGCCTCCTCCATCAGCACCACAGTTAATGCTTCTGCTGTGACCAAAGGTACCGTCATGCTGCTTGCTTATTCCTGCTGACTGATCCATTTACTGCCAAATGCTCTTCACAGAGTGAGTACATCAGGCTCAATTTTTATAAATGCAGGAGGTTCCAGCAGAAGAAGAGTCAGGACCAGTATAACACCTGCAGGGAGGCAGGCCAAGGCATTTTGAACGTATACCAAGGTGTGCTGCCAGCATATATAGCGACTCTCCTCAATTTCTCCACAATAGGCTTCAAAGAGCAGTGCTGGTTTCCATGGAAACTGGATCAATTTTTGGCTGACGTGGGGTTACGTTTCCAATTTTTCTCTGGTTTGGAATAACTGAAATTAAATAGAAATTCTTTCTCCGTTTCCTTAAAGCTGTTTAGGACTTTTGCTTTCAAGGAGGAGAGAATCTCCTCGTTGTGTAACAGACATCAGATGGTAAGAAAGCCTGAAAGCAAGCCAAAAATGGAGTAGCAATAGATGCCAATTTTAAGATTATTTAGCATAATCACAGTTTTGATTAGAAATTGTCATTGCAAGGAAATTTTCAGATGCGTATAAGGGAGCTAGGTGCCCAGAATGCACTGAAATCTATGCAGTTCATGTGGGAACTTAGGGAAGTTTTATTTTTAAGCTGTAATTATTTTGAGAAAAGGTGCTTTTACAAAATTTACTTTAAGTTATTGCATTAGTGCGTACATTTAAACTCCAAAGCAACCCATGCATTTGGGCAAGCTGGTTGTGTTGAAAATCAGTAGGATTGTAGTCACCTATGCCTACATGTCAGAGTTACTTTGAAAACAGAACATATGGTCTTACATCAAATTCTGAATATATTGTCTTTTGGCAGTCTCTGGAATGAAGTGGAGGAACTGATTTGTGAGTTTAAGATTTGTGGGGCAATTCACAAACCAAAATAGAAGGAAAAATGGCTGAATTCATTTGTATAACAATTTTTGCTAAATATTTGTCAGGAACAAGGTTGCACAGTACTTGATGTAGCGCATTCTAAATTGTTGTGAAGGATATGAACCGTATCCTCGACTGTGCAATGAAGCAATAGGTATCTGAAATGACTTACTTCCAGGATGTCATGAAATGAGAGCACAGTGGGATTTATCGGCAGAGGAAGGATGTGGTATTACTGCTACCGACAATGGTTTTTTGCCGACCTCATTAGACCATAACACTACAACATCACTATATGGAAATGATGGGCATAGCACAGAAGAGGAGGTTCTCATAGCTTTCTGTCCTTGGCAACAGCTTCAAAATACGTGATCAGTTACTAGGTTGTGGGAAGACTGAATTATTTCCTAATATTGATTTCCTAAGCTGGGAAACAGAAAGAAGCACGTATATAGAAAGAGAATGGGCAACCAAGGGTTGTTCTTTAGTGTGGTTTATTGAAGATAGCATGTGTGAATTGCAATGAAATTCAAACTTTTTTACAATTTCATATCAAAAAATCCTGTCCTAGGATCCTGCCTGCCACAAGACTGCTGGCAATTTCTTGGAATGCTGAGAGAACTACTTTTGTAATGATTTTAAAAGCTAGAAAACAAAACCAGTGCTTTTCAATTAAGTGTTTTATTTACAGCATCTGCTTTAAGAAAATATGTCAGATGACAAAAGAACTGAAGCATGAGTCTTGTCTTAGCATCAGCCAAATGCAGGTCTAGCCAGGGTGTTTGGATCATCACATTCAAGGCTATGTCATGCTGCTGTGTGCTGATCCTCACTGCTAACAGTTCAGCTGCGCCACATCACCCGTCCACCACGTGTGGAGTCAGGACGCAGGAGAAGCACTGTATGGGGACCTGTGACAGATATCCTCCACTTCTGTGGAGCATAACTGTTGGCTTTTGTGGGCTCTTCCCTGGCAGCCTCATGGGTAGGAAGCTGAGATGGTGAGTCTGCCTGCGGTAGTGCCATCTCCTGGACAAGCGTGAGAGAAAACATCTATGAAACCTGACTGGAAGCAGACACAATGTCTTTTGCAAAAGGGGTCTGTTTCCTATCCGCATCACAGAAGTGTTTGTTTTCACCACCTAGAATTTAGGGGTTGGTCATTTTTCTGGGTGAAATGGAAAGTATTAGGCAGGTAGTGTTTCCAGGTAATGGGAAAGCAAGCTTCTACTTTAACAATATTTACAGCCTTGTGACTCTGCAACTTCACACAGGTCCCCTTGTTCCTGCAGTTAAAGTCAAGAGACATGAAATAAAGAGTGACCCAACTCCTCTGGGGTTTGAAGGTATGAGTATTTCCATCCTGCATGAAAACCTGTTTGGCAATCTTTTGATATTTTTCACTGAATTCTCATGTCATCACTGCTGGCAGACAACATTGGAGTCCGTTAGGGGTTTGGTGTTGGCTTATCTGTTTAACTGTGATAAACACAGCTTGTCACCCCCTTGCCTGTCCCCTGCACTCATGTTATATTTACCAACTTTTACCTAGGGATGGGCCTAAATTAAACCCCCGATTCTCTGTCTGTTTTGGGAAGTAATGCTCTAGACTGTGATCTGGATGCGGATTTTCTGCCTGGCTTCTACCTCACTCCGTAGAGTGCAGCAGCAGGGAGCCAAGGGGCTACTTCTCACCTTCACCTGCAGTCTGGCCGCTTGCATCCCTCTTCCCTTGTTAGTGTCTCTACCTAATAAGAGGAGCAGGAGCCATGTGCATGAAGACTACAGAAGAGGCTAGACTGTGCATTGATATCCATTTAAGGTGCAGTGTTTCATTTCAGCCCAGCAGAATTTCCACCTGTTTGTTGCAGCAGATTCATCAATTACTGTTTATTAAAACAGTACCAAAGAGTTAAACTGGGAAGTTATTCCTCAGCTACTGGAAGATCACCAGATCCATTGTCAGCTTTTCCCTTCACAAGAGGATTTGCCAGAGCACTGGCAAATTTGCCTTGCGGGGCACAAGCAGTCGGGTACCCTTGCTGCAGGACAGGGAGGAGAGAGATGTAAGCTGAGGAATCCTGTCTCAGGGCTGTGTTGTTCTGTACAAAATCTTGGTAGAAAGGGCAGGTGGCCAAGTGAGTGATGGCATTGGGGACATATCGGAGCTATCTCCTACGTCACTCCCAGCAGAAGAGGAGACTGGAACAGAGAGGCTGGAAGGAACAATTCAGACACGGCAGAGGAAATACTTTTGCTGTTTGCAGAATATTTCCTTTTGCCAGTGACCCCTGGTACTATGTTTGGAGTCATCCTGGCACCCAGCAGCTGAGTTTCCCTAACTGTGGTGTTTATACCTCACCTTCCTCCCTGACAGATACTTCTGATCTGTGACATACCATGTGGCTGCAGAGGTGGGGCTATTTCAAGGTGCGAGTACTGTCTGTAGGATAGACCTCAGTTGATCCTCACTGGTTAAAAACACGGTCCTACTGGACAACATCCCTCACCAGATGGAGTTCCTTTAATGAACATTATCGTCCCTTTACCAGAAGGTATTGCTGCTATTGCCAGGGCTGTGACAGAGTTAATAACACAAAGGATTTGATGTACATAGATGAAAACTTCCCCCACGAAATTGCGTTGCATTCAACAAGAGTGAAATCGTTCCTTTCTGGCTGGGAAGAAGAGCCTCCCAGGTCCCCTTTCATTGCTGTATGGATGGGCATCAAAATCATATACCATCACCTACAGAATGATTTGAAATGCTGCAAGGAAAATATGTTAAAAATGTGTAAGGAAGCTGTAGTGAAATAGAACACTGCACTGTTCATCCAGCAATCATTTTCCTTAATTAACATCAATATTTCTGTTTGATTCATTTGGCTGTTCTCTGTCCTCAGCCTTAGTTTTTCTGTGGAATGCTGTTATCTCTTCACTCATTTGTGCTGGTCACGTGTCTCCTCTTCTAAACTGTTGGACCCCAGTCCACCTGCTTGTTAAAGAAACTACCAGTTGCAGAGGTGACACAGGAATTCACTTTGTAGTGGTTGTCTGGTCACTGTTTTCCCTTGAAGACACAAATTGTACTTCCTGTCACAGATGCTTTTGAGAACACCATATTGGCCCAGACTAAATGTAATACCGGTTCCACTACGAGACCCGTACCTAGATCTGCTTCACAGACAGGTAAACAAAATTAAAACATTCATCACCTCAAATTGAGAGTGTACTATAAATTTATGATAATATTTACTCTCTTTAACTTGAAGAGATTTTTCTCTTTTAATGAACGTTATTTCCTGTGAAAACAATGAAAGAACAAGCTTGGATCACTAGCAGGTTTAGAAACAATGTCCCGGATTCTGGTTTTCTGTAGGTCAGGCACAGCTGAAAATAATTCTTTTAATTGACGTCAGAGAGCTCAAAATTGGATCTGTGTTATTTTATAGCTTGAATTAAGTATGTAAAACTTAGGCTATTTCTTTCTGAAATTAGAATAGCAATTTGTATGGAAGAGGAAGGCTGATGCATGTATTTGTAAGGAATCTTTGCTGTTTAGGTTTCTGCCTGGGATGTTTTCTACAAATAACAACGGCAAGAGATTACCCAAGATTTGTCTAAGGGGGATATCTTTTTCTTTTGGTTTTGTAGCCCACCCTGTGAACATGAACTAAAATTGCTGTAGCAGTTTGAAGCTAATTAGCATCAATGTATTCTTGTACATTTAGACAGTATTTTGCTAGTATTTTGCTGGTGTGATTCAACTGATACAGAATACGGGGTCCAGTTCTATATGGTGCATGGTCTGTAATTGAAATTGTCTCTTCCATCTCAAAAGTCTGTTGGTATAGGCCTTGGCAGGGACACTCACAACCCAGCACGACTGCCACTTCAGAGGCTAGTTTACACATTGAAAAGCATGGATGACCTAGCCATATGTGCAGGGTTATAACTGGGGATGCTGCTCTGGTGGAAGAAGGTCACAGCCCCTGTGTAACAGGAGGAAGGAGAAGGGGTGCAGAGCTGCATGACCCCATGTTGAACTAACCAGTGTCTGTAGCAGGGAGGATGCAAATGGGGAGGGATTAAATAAATCGATTAATAAACCTATATCTGCCAGACTAAATTGCTTTTCTGTTTACTGCCTGAACTCCCTGACCGTATTGTCTCGGGCCAGGCTTTGCTGTGGGTTGTGAGTGCTGGGTTATGCAAATCCCACTGCACGAGCATCTGTCTCCGTGCCTTTTGTCAAAGCACTGCTTTGCCTTGTTGAGAGCAATGGCCCACCGGCTGTAAAACGCTTGATTCAGCATCTGCTCAGCCCAAGTCCCTGTGAATCAGCTAATGCAGAGCAGGTACACTAAGTAGGAAGGCACATGGTGATTTGACTGGCTCCATTCAGCTTGTATCTGTCAGGGCTTCAGAATCCCTTGGTAGATGCAAAGTCTGTTTCCTCCTAGCTGGACTGTAGTCATCCCTGTCAGAAAAGGGACGGGCATCAAGTGTGAAGGAAGGTTAGACCATGACTGGCATCTGTACAGAAGAGGCTGAGTTACTTTTCCATCATGGGAGCCTCAAGCAGGCAGGTCTTATAAGGCTCAGCCTGGATTTCGCTCAGGACACATCCTCTGGGCATGCCTTTGTAGGTAAAGACTGCTGTTGTGCTTGGGCTGGAAATCTCTCATTGGGTGTCTTTCACTGGGCTGGGGTGATTTTGAGTGCAAATCATGCAACAAATGCAATAAATTTTCTGCTAACAGCAGAAATATTAATGAGATCTTCTCTACCTACCACCAAGGTCTGGTCGTCTTTGTGCCTTGTTGTTTACTCCATCCCTTCCCTGCACTTCCAGCCTGCTCCAGGGTATAGATTTGTAAGTTGTTCAGGTGGTAATATCACCTTGGGGTGAGATGGAGATAAGAAGTCAACCAAAATTCAATGGCTTTGGACTTCAATTTATAGATAAACTTGTTGAGGTAAGCTGCAAACTGAATGAGCATGGCCTTCTGAAAATCACGTCAGCAAAAGTTATCATCATTTGCTACAGCGCTCACTCTGCAGAAATATTGCTGGTCCTTGCTTTTTGTACCTCCTGAACTAAAGAGATTTAGCAATGCTAAACACTCGAGGTATTGATGGGCATGCATACTGTGGCCACACAATCTTGCTTTCGCAAGTGGTACAGGTTTTCAGAGACGGGATAATGGCTGCAATGTAATTTTTATGGCAAAATCAGGGAACAAGTTGTAAAAAGGTACAAGCAATTCAGTAAGTGGAATACTGGGAAGTGAACCTGTGACATTTAATTTTAAAAGACTGAGTCTGAAAGAGGCTAATGACTGATAGCTAACTCTTTTTGGTTTATCTCCTTTGAAAAGGTTGGCCCAGCAGGCAAATGCCATCTCTAGACACATTTGAAGATTTCGAAGCCATCCCTTCCAGCACAGATGAACTCTCCAACTCTTCTGACTTGGAGGAAGAGACCAACCCTAACAATGTAATTCCTTTTTCAAACTACGCTGCCCTTTCCCAGTGCAACCTCCTCTTCTCTGAAGATCACGATTTAACCTGCAAAGTTTGGGTTCATACCAGCCTTAAACTCATGGATGTGGGGGAATACAGAAGATGGGAATTTGATGTGGCGTGTTGGGAGATTATTCCAGTACTATTTTGTTGATCAGGATCAGGACCATAAAAAGTCACCCTTACTTGTAAGCTGTAGCTTTACCAGTTACAAAAATGATGGAAAATTCTGACCCTTTAAAAAAGTAATTTCAGACTTTTCCAGATAACTTAACCTGGTGTCAGAAACTCAGTTTCTTCATCAGAATAATGGCTGGCTGGTTAATTCTAAAGCCTGAATGCACACCACAGTTCTGTCCTAAGTTTGAATAATATTTAACCCGGGCACGATAAAAGGAATCAAAAGCGACACAATTCCCTACAGAAGAAATCTCTGCCAGCTTGAAATCCCTAATTCAGTGTTTAACTAAACTCACTCTCTCTTGCACAGTGTTCTTTCATCCATAGTAACTGTATTTCTGGTGCATTGTTTTATTTTTTTTAGGGGACCAATCTTTTTCGGGTAGAAGGCAGTTTTGACAGCTGTTTCCCAGATTCTCTTACGCTTGAGGATGGAGATTTAGTGCAGTTTGTGCAGGAAGGAGAGAACGGTCAATGGTGAGTACAACAGAGAGACAGAATTTAACAGGTAGAACAGCCATAACCTCCTGGAAAAGATGGAAAATATTCAGAAGAATGTCAAAGCCTCTTCAAAATCAATCCAAATCCACTCACACCATTGACCATCAATGTGAAAGAGGTAGCGGGAGGCATAATCGTACAAGCAGCTTTGGTTAATTCCACTTGGTTGGCTTTCATTCCACAAGTCTCGTGACATGAAGATTAAGAGGACAGAAGTTTGTGTAAAGGAAATGGAGAGGAATATTTGGCTTTTGACACCTTCTAGCCAGAAGGACAACTGTCAAAGGCAGCACCTTCCCATAGGATACATCAGTAAAATCCCCATGCCTTCCACCAAGCTGCAGTAGTGAACCAGAGAGCATCTTTAGCCCCAAAGGCTTAGATATAAGACACGACTGACAAAGTGGAATGAATCTGCCCCCCTTGAGCTTGCATACATTTTGGTGTATTTATTCTCTCTTGCTGACACGCGAGTGTTAGGAACAGACCTGGCTGGACATCTGAATTCTCCTTCCATGGGTAATTTGGAGGAGGAAGATCTGATCTCCTTGAAGTGTCTGTGCAGTCAGACCCTTCACTCAGAACTGTCATGCAGCTGAGATGGCAGCAAGTCCCATAGGGTGAAGTAGGTGGGAAGTAAATTAAACCCATCCACCCTGGATGGTATTTACAGCAAGGAGCATGGAAAATATGAGAGACTTGTTTTCTTTGGCTCTGAGTTTGGCCCAGGGTGTCAAACACAGGCCAAGGCCACTGGTACCTTGTCACATGGTCCGCTTGCAAGTGAGCTTGATTTGGGATACTGGGTCACCATCTGGGACTGCTGAAACTTAGTCACTGGCTGCCTGTAGGACTGCCCTGGGTCTTCTGCCTTAGAATCACAGAATGGTTTGGGTTGGAAGGGAGCTGAAAGCCCACCTAGTTCCAACCTCCCTGCTGTGGGCAGGGACACCTTCCACTAGCCCAGGTTGCCAAAAGCCGCATCCAACCTGGCCTTGAACACTTCCAGGGAGGGGGCATCCACAACTTCTCTTTTTCCTTAGTTTAGGAAGTAGCTGCTCAACATGCACCTCTGAGAAACGCAACCCAGGGAGAGGTAAATTCACTGACTGTTCTCTGAATTTCAGGTTAGTGAAGAAACTAGTCTCTGAGAAAAGCGAATGGGTTCCTTCCAGTATATTGCAGCCAGCAGAGGGGGACAGTAACAGCATTATAAAGAACAGCAATGCAGGTAATAGAGAAAATGTGTTACTGACGTTTCTTTCCCGCCCCCCTTCCCCCCAAAAGGATGTGATTAAAAAAAAATGTGATAAACAGTGCACTTTCTGTATTAAAGTACTTGGCCTGAGTGTATGTCTGTGCTGCAGTCTCTGGTAACGCAGCTGAGCTAGCCTGAAACTTGGTGCCGTGGGTGTCAGAGCTAGTTAGGCACAGCAGCTTACCTTGGCATGGTTTAATTTTTTTCCCCTTCCTGGGCAGAACTTGAATCTCCCACCAAACTCCTGTGGCTACCAGTCCCCAGGCTGGCTACTTTACAGCTAGCCCAAGTGTGTCATATGGCAGGGTGTGTTGTAGCTGCAGGGTAGCTGTCATCGTGACACGGGTAGCATTTGGATTTAGTTCAGCATCAGGGCTGGCGTTCTGGTCTAGGTTTGAAAACAGTAAAATCTCATGATCCTTTACTGCTTTCATCAGATTTCACTGCTGGCTCCAAAGGCTGGAGGAAGGGCTGCTCTGGCGAGATTTCAGCCAAACCAGCACTAAAAGTCATCCTTTCTTCAGCTTTGGTTCTGACTTAACACCCAAACAGGCTGCACTGAAAAAGCTGAATCTCAGCAACTCTGCAGATCAAAGGTTTACAATTTTAGATTAATTTTTGCCCATCCTTGAATATAATTTACCAAAATGTGTCCTGCTTTTCTTCTGGTAACAGAAGTGAAATCTGGCTCAGTCATTCCCTGGGGACCTGCGATAGAGAGCTACCAGGATTTTATTCTGAGTTACTGGTTTCTTTTGACTCTTTTTTTTGGTCAGTTTGTTAAAGTGGAGAAAAACCTTTTTGAAAGTTAACCAGGATTCTTTGTTGTGGTTTAAAGGGAGTTTGGTAACTGCTGTTCCTTCACCTCCACAGGAGGTCAGCTCTGTCTTCACCCTCCATGCCTAGCTATTTCTTTGGCATGTCTAACGCTTCAAAAGAAAAATAAAGCCACATGCACGTTATGGTTAGTTACATGCCAAAAGAGCCTGTCTTGCCTTCAGTGAAGGAATTAGAAGAGCAGTAGAATTGTGATTATTTATTTTTTATTTTATTTCAGGCTTTTAGCAAAGAACGTCAAGACTGTAGATGGGAAATCCTTTAGACGTATTGTAGTGACAATGCCCCTTGTCTTCCTTTTCAGACATGTACAATGATTCCTGCAGTACGGCTTCAGTAGATTCAGACACCAAGGAGAGTGAGGTGGCCAAAAGCTTTGCAGCGGAACAGAGGGCTGGCAGCTGAACAGCAGGACCAGCCTTCCTCAGGACCCCATCCATCTCTGTTTATTTTGGGTGGACACTGGATCAAAGTTGCCTTTCTCACAAGCTCTAAGGTTCATAATTCACTAAAACTTTATCAGCATGAACAGATGAAAACTGTGCTGTCTACCTGGCAAGCTGGGAAAAACAAACTTGAAAAGAGCATTAAACATCCAGAAAGCATCAAAACCCACCTTCAGTATTAGAGGAGAAAAATGCTTCTCGCATTGATTATCAAACTGTTTCAGAAGATGTGGCCTAAATTAGGTCGACAGCAGAGCTGAAGAGTTACTATGCACGCACCTTTTGGCAACTTTGCTCGAACACCGAGTTACTGCAGTGAGGGACACATGCGTGGTTACGAGTTCTTGCTCTATCATGGGGTCGCCTGGAGGTTATTCCATTTGCTTGCCTCTGGCTGTGCCTTCCCCCTCCTTAATTCCAGCTGATACATCACAAACATGCCCTTTTGCTGATGGTCAACACCAAAACCATCCCATTTTAGGATGGCTGTGGAAAGGCAATTTCTGACTTGGACCATCAGAGAGGCTTTGCACAGCAATGGCGTGACTACTTTTGCAAGGGCACAGCGAACGACCTGCTGCATACAGCATTACGTTGGAACGACGCAGATGGCAACGCCTGGCTATGAGGTGGAGGAGCAGGGCTTAGCAGGGAAGCAAAGACGTGTGACAGCTACTGTGACAAAGAACATTTTGAACTCTTTTTACAATATAAGTCATTCCTCTGCCCCCTCTGCAGTCTGTGGTTGCTGGATCACAATCCTTTGCATTTGGTGCCGAGAATTCAATTGAATGCCATTTAATGTCATATGTTTGAGTAGACTGCATGCTTTCTTTGTGTGCTGAGCTATGGAGTAGATACATTTCATCCCCCATTTGGAATATACTTAAGCATTGCAAATAGGCAGTGAGCATTAATGCGTGGATAAAGTGTTGTTGTTAAATACTTCTTTCCAGGACATTTGATTAAAGGACTGTACCAAATCTCTGCCACATAAGGATGTAAGGTATAATATAAAGTGATTGCAGGTGTTATTATTTCTATATAAGCCATTAGCTCCTTCAGAGCAGCTATTAAGGCATGAAGGCATTTTGATGGTAATTGGGTCTTAGGTCCCACAAAAGCTGCTAATACTTTAGTAAAGATAAGTATTCACTAAGGGTTGCGAACAGGCAAAGATCACCCTGGTAAAAATGACCCTAGAAGCTCAAGAGTGAGTGATTTGCTTTCACTATTAGGGATTTTTTTGTTTAACCTTGAGACTAGTGGTGCTCTATGTAAATAACAAAGGGGACGAAAGCACTAAAAATGGAGATGAAGCAAAACCAAAACCTTCAGGAATTGAGCCTCTGAGCAAAACAGTAGGAGTCTGTATCATTTCTGCTATCATCTTTGCAGGGACTCAAATGTTTTTCTTTGTGTCTCAGTGGAGGCTGGCATTGCAAATATCTTAGTGTGTGAGTCAGGATAGCTGTGAAGCAGGTAGATAGTCCCATTCAAGGAAAACCCTTGGAGTAGGTGAAGGCTTATTCAGATTTTGTTTGCTTATGAAGGCGTATCAGTTAATTATGAGTTGCATTGTGGTGGTTAATTCCCATGGTTCTTCTAACCCTCAATATCTAAACTGTGTGATTTCTGGTGTTTTCGGTTCATGACTAAAGGACCTGAGAGTTCTGTACCTTTTTGGACGCTAGTTTTGTCCTACAGAGATAAGAGCTTGTCTGTTTTGTGCTTGTCATTTACCTTAAAAATGACATGTAGGCTCTCAGGACCACAAATCCTGTTAGTCTACTGTAGTTATGAGCATCTTGAGGGAAGAATTGATTCCTTTCAGTCCCTCAAGGGAATATACAGTGATGTTTTCTTGTAGTGCAATTATTTTATCCTCTCTCTAAAATGACTTAATTTTGATTTCTGTATTACTTTCAGTAATTTTTGCACGGCCTGATAACAGTGCTTCTGTCTACCCCTGCCCTAAGCATAGGAGAGGAAAGGGGTAGGGAGCTTTGATTGCACATTAATAAATATAGTAAGCTTGTGTGTGTGAGAGAGAGAGAGATGGGGAAGGGTTACCCTGGGTATATGAAACTGCCAAAACTAGGATTTGTGACATTGCTGACGGATGGCAAGATGTAAACCTGCACTTTGGAGCTTCTCTGGAGGAATCTCATTCTAATGGTGAAATGGCAGTGGGAAGTCTCTGTCTGAACTGGAGATGGAAAATCAGGCGCTGTCAGTCCATTTCCTACCTCTGCTGTGTGCAGGGTGACAGTGTGCTCATCCTATATCCCCTTGTGCCTCGATATCTTCATGTAAAATAGGAGCTATTGGATTTCCCATGTGTTGAATTCTGATGCTAAATTTTAGCATCTATGCAAAAATTGGGGACCCTCCAGGGGAGAGCAAAGCATTCAACCCCACATGTCCCTCTGTGCCCTCCATGAGTGTCAGTGGTGGCATCCTGTGGGGCAGTCCAGCGCTGGAGCAGGGAAGAGGATTGCTGCAGAAGTGTCTCCTCTCTCCCAGCTCACCATCTCGTCATGACAACTGCAAAGGTATGGGCTGGATTATAACAATTCTCCTCCCTACTTTGCTTTTGAAAACAATATTTATTTATTTATTTTGCAAAATCTCATGTTTTATCCTGTTTGACCAAAGTTTGAGTCACTCCTGCACCATGCATGTGTGGCACGTAACTCACTGCCCCGTGGCTGTGTGCGGCAGCGGCACAGCACTCTGATTTCAGCAGTCTTTGGGAGGTGGCTGTATCACAGCTATCCTCGGATGCTACTGAACCTGAGCAGGGAGCCTACAGCCATTAATTGTGTCTTTAACCTTCCTGCAGCGCTGGCGAGCCAAAGGCAGCTGCCTGTTTCTGTCTCCACGTTCCAAACTCAGACCACGCTGCTCCTGAGGCAGCTGCTGCTGGGGAGGAACCGGGGCCTCTGCCTGGCTGATGCCACATGGCTGGGGTTGCTTTTTTAAAGAATGAAGTTCAATGACAGATCAGGCTGCTGACAAGTCTGAGAGCAGCCGACAAGAAGTAACCTTCTGGCTTTGCTGACGAGACAAAATGGGGTTTGATGACTTTCCTTTTTTTTTTTTTTTAATAGTAGACAGGATAGTCTTTTCATTATTGTATTTCTCTCAAGCAAGGTGATAATTAAGGGCATGACTCTCCATGTACAGTCTAGAATATGACTTGGTAATGTCCAGCAAGACCAATGCGTACGTTAAGGTAAATTTATTCTGCATGTCGGTCTTTGACAGCATCGTTTTCAGGCAGATGGACCCAAAAATCATCCTTTCCAAATACGGATTTCATTTCAGTACTGTTTGAAGATGATCTAGTGTCCAGAAAGTCATTTAAAATGAATGGTTGCCACTAAGTTTCAGTTGTAAACAGACAAGGTCCAAGGTAAACCTATGCTGTAGCAGCACTCGTGGTTGAGCGCTGTGCCCTTGCTGCTTGCCCGGCGAGTCCATGCCAGCTGCCTGGCCGTTCTCTCCAGTTGGGACTAGCGAGTCCTGCCCTTGGGGTGAGGCTTTGACTTGTGTCTCCTCTGCTGGCTCTGCTGCCATCTTCTGTGAAACTTGCCGAAACTTCACATCCTTGACTCTGCCCTCTGCGCAGTCGGGTGTAGCTGGGCACCAGACTCCTTCCTGACTGGCGGCGATGACAACAGGTAGACAGGCAGTTGCCGTGATACGTAAGTCTTGCTTTTCTAGTAAACCAGGCCAAAATGTAATCAGGCCTGATCCTCTCCCTCTCTCACATCTAACCCCACTGGGTGGAGAATCAGACCCATGGTCATTGTCTTGATCATAAACGGCTGTGGCCAAACCAAGTCCGAACGCTGGCTTTTCTTGCCAGGGACAACAAAGCTGTGCGTGTGTCTTATATTCTGGTTGTGTGTGTGATGAAAAGCCATTTTATTATCCATAATTTCTTAGACTCTGAGATTTCAGACAGGATTGGGTATGAGTAAGGCTTGCTTTCCAAAAATACTCAAAGCCTGACTTCAAATATATATATCTGATTAGAAATATTTAAGAATAATAAGAATAAAAGAGCCAAATTGTGTATTTCTTCTTGCAGCTGGAGCTGAAATAGCTGCTAAGATTTCCTTTCCCCAGCTGAGAATTGGTACAGTTTGTTTTTTCTTACATATTTTCCATGGTGTTGATAATGATGTATTTGTATATTGTGACTGATGAGAGATAATCAGACAGGAAAAGAGCACAGGATTACCTGTCCTTTTTTTCCAGTCAAGACAGAATGTATGAATTTATTACAAGAAAAAAGTGTGCAAATGAACTTTCTGTAATTAGGCCATTCTGACCTGTGTAGAACCACACTTTATTTGAAATTTATAAAAATTCTAACTAGTACAAAACATTGTGGTTGATGTCTCTATATAAAATAACAAGTCAAATGAGCTTTCTTTTTATTCAAAATACATAAGTATCAGTAAAGGCACATCAGCACAGCTGAAAAAATTCCACAGGTCTGTCCAATATAACTTTATTTGTCCAATACACTTGTCACAAAAGGTACAAAGTGGGGGTTTTTCTTTTACCCATTTCCCTTAGACATGTTCCTGAATCCCTGGGACTCGTCGGAGTGTGCACAGGTTCACAGAGACAGTCTAGAGTTGCGTGTGCTAATGCTGCAGCCATAAGGCAAGGAAGTTGTGGGATAACTTTATTATAGTTACCCCCAAGACATCCACATACCTTTGGCTGCCAGTGGTTTATTAGGGAGCAATAATTGACCAAAATGCATGTTGTGGATCATGTGGAAGGGCAAGGAGTTGAAAATGAGAATGTAGAAACACAATGCAAATACAGAGAGCAAAATAAATTGGAAGTCATTTCAGCCGGTATCCAAATTTCTGGGGGTAAACTTCACCTCACTTGAGTTTTGAAGTCATTGACCGTATCATGTTACTGCAATGC